TGGCTGTGGCCCTTAGCGCCCGCTTCGTGGGATGGCGAGCCACGGCACAGATGGGTGCAGCAATTCACCGCTGTGAAGCTGCCGCGTCCCAAAGAGCCGCAGCAGGCGGCCAGAGCTTGTGGTGCTCTTACAGCGGTAACTCCCGCTGCGTACTTACAGTAGATGGGCACTTGAAACGCCATCCTTTCTAAAATGCATGTAACAAGTGAATTACTGCCCTTAATTTCCTAATATAATAATGCAATCATCAGATTCTTCTGTCTCAGAAATTTGTGGCCCAAATAGGCAACCAGCTTTAGCCAAATTTGTCATTCATTAGCAAATTATTGAAAATGCAAACAGTAACCATGCTGAGTAAACAATAGCCTGGAAAATGCCTTTAAAGTGCTGTTAAAATATTTTAAAGCCAGCTTGCAGTGCGCACCTTTGCCATCAACTCAAATCCAGTCTCTGTTATGAAAGACAAAATGCTCAGTCTGCCCTCCTTTTGGGGGAAAAAAACCCCAAACAGCCCCAAATCAGCACCTGTTCCTGAAGAAAAAAAGTCTGGTTTCTTTCCTTGACTGCAGCCTTGCCACATGGATGGGGGAGGCTTTTTGCTGTTTCTGATGGGCTTTTTAGCATTTGTGCACTGCAGAGTAAACCATCGGCAGCGCGGGTGCGGTGGCTGTGGCAGCCTGGCGCGAGGCTGCTGCTCCCAGCCGGAGGTGCTGCCTTAGTCCTGACTGCACTGGTGACGCTGTCCTGTGCAGGTGCTGAAGGGTGGAAGGCTTGCGTGCTCCCCGCTAACCCTGAGCTTTGCTCTGCTTTCTAATACCTGCTGCCTGCTCGAACATCACCTGTTCCCTTCTGGAACAGGGCCCAGTGTGGCTCTGCTACAGTTAAACAGGAATGGACATTTTAAAGGGGTTTGCACGGCGTGATTTGAGGTGCAGACTGTTACTGCTTCCAGTGTTAGTGTTTTAAAAGTCCCGGGTTTTTCAGAAATAAAACACCTGTGTCGGGGGCCCAAGTGGTGGCAGAGGCTCACTCTAGTAGGGACACATTCACCCTGGCTGCCAGGGGAGACTGTCCCTCCTTTACAAAAGATTATGCAACCTGTTAAGATTATGGAGTAGAGAGGATCTGAACATGGAATTAGCAATCAGGAATTGGTAGCTTTAAAAAGCTGATTTCTTTCACTCCGCAGCATTGCATTCATATCAGTGATCCAGAGGGATATGATAGAGCAAAGGGTACGCTTGGCAATGCGATGAACTTGTCACATCGGCGTACATGGGATGGGTACGCCATGTCGGTGTGCAGGTGGTGGGATTTTTTTCTTGTTTTGGAAAGTATTTTGGTCCTTAAGGTGTCAGAAAGGAGCTGTGATAGCAGCTACGGCACCCTCATCATGCTTACAGTCCCATTCAAGACTGCAACCCATGTTATCTCACCAGGTATTATCTTTCATGCTCCCCTTTCTATTTAAGATACAGAAAGTCTGTATGAGAGGTTCAGATAGGTGCTAACATACTGAACACCTTTTGGCATCAGCTATACATTTTAATAATGGTACTAACAAACATGACTTGCTTTGGACATGGCTATAGTGCAGCTTATTTGGGAACCTTTTTATGCCATCGCTGTACTCCAGTCCAGTTAGTCCTGTGACTAAGGAAAGATTCTATGCTGTAACAATGTAGAAATACATAAAAACACAGGTGAAAGAGATGAGCGTGGCCTGTATGTGTGTGCGCGTGTGCATCCCCAGGCCTTTTAGATGTTCATGAGTAAGAAGTTGTTGCAGATCCCCTGTTCTACCCATCACAGCTTCCCAGGAAACAGAAACCCCGATACTCTCGCTGTAGCGACAGCTGAACGCATGCCACAATGACTGGAAGGAACAAGTGCTCCTCGTGCTGGTGTGCCCCACCCTCACCAGCTCTGTTACCTGTGGGGAAGTAAAAATCAGCTGGGAGGAATATGGAGAAATCACTGATGGCAATGGTACGTGGATCATGAGCAGGCACCAACAGAGCACAGGCCTCTGCCGAGGACTTTGGAGACAGAAAAAAGAGCTTGAGAACGTTCACATACATTCTGGGAAGCTTTAGGAGAAAAAATCAGTGCTCGGGTAATTGGCTCAAATAAGGCAGGTGTTACATTTGCAATTTCAAGGAACAGCAATTAGCTGACTGGCAGGCTGCTAGAAGCTGAAGTTGTGCTTCCTTAGGAGTCTGCCATCCCTGGCATTTGTTCCTCTTTCAAAGGTTTTATTTACAGGTGTCCTTATCTTGTAAGCATCCGTCAATTCTCCATTGAGTTTGATTTCCCTGACTTGTGATAAAACTTCCCATTTGTGAGTCTTCCAGCTGGAAAACCTTGAGGGAAAAATTCTGCCAGACTCGCTTCTCAGCAGGCCCCAAGACAAGCAAAACCCATACTAGAAAAACCATGTTATTTTATTTTGTGTTGTGCTCAGCCCAGAGAGCAGCTCTTTGCAAATGCCTCCAAAGGCTGCACTTACATCGATGGTCTCTGTTCACGCCTGCTGTTGACAAGTTCAGCCAACACATTTTACAGCTGCTGCATGGCTGCTACCTCTTCAGCCAAAGACTGAGATCAGATTATTTTGAGACCAGATTGTCTGTTTTAGTGCAGCCAAAAATCCCCCCTCGGATCCAGCAATGAATCCATTTCCCACAATGAATGTTAGGAATCGCTCCGGCTCCTGGAGCACTTGTGTCACACCTGTAACTTGTGTACCCCTTACTCGCTGGATCTCGGTTCACCGTGACAGGTAACGGGATCGTGTTACTTGCTGCACCTCTCCAATGTCTTGCTCCAGTGAGGCCCTGATCCTTCTGAGGTTATTTGGTGCCGCAGCAAGGAAGAACGAACAGTTCTGAAAGTGAGTTAGAGATTCCTCCAGGCCCAGAGAACTGAAATATTTTGACAGCAAGAATCAACAGCCCAGCTCAGCAGAAACCCTAAAGCTGAAGCTTACTTGTAGATGCATTTATTTACATAAAAATAAATACGCACAGCTGCAGTATTTGCTTGCTCATTACCTTCCTTTGCAGGACAAGTCAGATTTGCCGAGTGCCCGTGCTCTCTCCCAGCGGACACAGCCACTGGCTTCAGCCTTTGCCCCGCCAACAGGCACCGCAGCTGCCTACAGGCTGCACCTTGCACCCCAGAGGCTCTGGCCAGAGCCCTTCCAGGCTAACCCCACCCTGAACCAGGAGTATGTACATCTCCTCTAGATCCAAGAGTGGCTGGAGAGAAGAGAAGGCAGGTACTCTAGTCCCCCAAAATGTAAACATGTTTTTATTTAATGCCTTTCACTCATCACAGGGTACTTTTTCCCCCACCCCCAGCCCCCAAACCCAAGATGGCAGCATAAGGCACCGTGTAGACACATGCACAGTCCACATACCATCTATGTACGATTTAAAAACACAGCTATAGTTCTTATCAATAGTACCATGTGTCCTTATGATTAATGTACACAGTATGATTTTCCTCAGAGCTTGTTCTGGAGAAATGAACTATTAATTTAGAATGGTTAAGACTCTCCCCACCCCCACCCCCCAAAAAGCCAGATTAAAAACACAGGTACAGAGCTTAATACCAGATTAATGAGATTAGTTCATAAATTAAAAAAATAATAATAAAAAAAAATCAACAGTTTCACTCTTGTTTTCAGAAAGTCCCATGTGACGTGATGTACTGTGCAGAGACTCCTTACTATGTCCTCTTCCCCTTTTCAAACCAGGAAAACTGACAAGTGGACCCAAGACTTCCAGCGGTTCTCACTGATGGCAAAAAGGCAGTTCCAGCGCTCTGCACCCGGCTTAGCCATGCAACTGCAGGATCCCCAGCGAGCTAGCTGAAGGCTTTTCCTCTGTCCAAAGGAAGGACTTGACACAATGTTCTTTGGCTGCAAGTTCTTAAAGGCTTCCACTGAAAGGGTTCTCCTTCAAAAAAAAGAAAAACTGCAGTTGCTGCGGGATTTTTTTTTTTTTTTAGTAAGAAAATGTTGAGGAATAGGTGGAACCGATGTAACAGTTTGAGTGAAGCCCTCACAGTGCTAAGATGTTGGGGTCTGCTACAAATATTCAAGTTCCAAGGCGTGCCGAAGAGCTTCCAGGTCAGCGTGACAAGAGATTCTCCAGAATGGCATGTTGTGCTAGAGTGAAACCAAAAGAGGGGATTTTTTGTTTTTTGTTTAATACTGAGATCAAAACAACTTTCTTAGTTTGCACTCTCGGGAACAGAGCTTTGTACTTGGGCCACCAGGCTGTCATGGTGTCACAGGCAAGGAGGCTCATCTTGGAGAGAAGGAAGGGGGTGGGAGCATCCGGCCACTGGTATGTTTCTCCTAGGCAGAGAGGAAGATGGATCCTCCACAATTTGGGAGCATCCCGCTTCAGAGATGATGCAGGATGCAGGCTTTCTGAATGTACTAGCTACTAAACTTCCCTCTCCTGTTTTTTCATGGATTGATTAGGAATGTTTCTAGAGTTGCAGTGTGCTTAGAAACACTTCTCTTGCCACTTAGCGATGTTCACCTATTGCAACAAGTTATACAGAGTCTTAGACTCTCCAGAAAGCAGCACAATCCTGCCCTACACCACCAATTTCTGGGTTGTCCTACTTACTACTAGCGAAAGCTGTTGCCAGTGCTTCACAGACAAGTAAACGCTATAGAGCATAAAATGAAGTTACTAAAATTTGCAAAAATGTACACAAAAGAATGTAATACCACACGGTGTCAAAGTGCTTTCTACCAAGTCCCTTTCCAAGTTCATGCTGCATTTTCTGGCAATTCAGGAACTGGCATCATGGCTCAGATCAATTCATTCAGTGTAACACGGCTGCCTCTGGGAGGGCTTACACGCCAGCTTGTCCTCAAGAAACTGTCCTGATCGCACTTTTGAGAGACTATCTTATAGTCTTCTCCTGCCCCCCTGTTTTTCAGTTCATATGGACTGTCATAAATCTAAAATCATGTACACAAATGTCCAAGTTGTAACCAGTCAGTTCCACTTGCAATCCGGACAAAACCTGGGAAGGTCACCTATCTGTGACCTACTCTGTATCTTGAGTCGTCTCTTGAAAATTGTGAATATAACTCTAGGAAAACCAGACTTGCACCTGAAAGAGCACAAAGTACCAATTTTTTTAAGAGCTGTGAAACAAGTGCAGTTCAATCACACGGGGGACCCAAGATGGAAACTGTGAACTGGTAAGGTACAAACGGTACTCGGAGAGCATCGCTGTGTCAACACAGCTCTGCGATCATTAGCACGAGCTCGGATCCCAGTGGTTACTTGCTAAGAGATAACCTCAAGATAATTAGAACCTGCTGTGGGATGTGAAATACAGCTTTTCTTGGTATGTTCTGGTGAGCCCGGGGCTTGGACTGGATTTGTTTCTTATCCAATACAGTTAAGGCAGTTTTACTTTACATCAAAACCACAGTTTAGATTTTAGATTGCACTTAGATTTTTTTCAACAACATTTGGGCGTGTGATTTTCTTAGCTTCCTCCCAAAGTACTGGTTCTGTACAGTCAGTGATAGGCATGCAGTAACAAAGATGCAGAAAGCCCTACCGGACAGGGCTTACTCCCCTTCCAGTGTGGGAACAAAATTTTCTGAGTACTTTGTCACTGTAAATAATTCAGCTGCAAGCATACTGCTTCTGGACAAACAGCTCCAACAACGCTGTAGAGAACACACGCTTCCCAGGCAGACGACTCCGATCAAGGGAGATGGGCCTTTTCCCAGCGCACCTACCTGTGTCAAAACAACTCCAGCGGTTCCCGAGGTTTGTTTTACAGTGTCTATTCACACACCTCTACTGTTTAAATACAACTCAAGCTTCCCTCTGCTATGTTGCCATCAGTAAACAAATGTTTCCTTCAAGCTATTTGCTAGTGTGTGTAGAGAGAGCAAGCAAACAGAGACAGCTGAAGTGACTGGAATCCACTGTTCTGCAATTTCACTTTAAGGGGAAAAGTTATTTCCTTCTCCCACCCCCTCCCCTGGTTGTTATTAAACCCATTGCATTAAATTATCTATTTTTCTTTCTTAAACAAGAAGGAAACTTGGCCTCCGAGCCACTCCTGTTGTTCAGTATTTACAGATTTAATCAGACAGGTGAAGAAAAATGACCCACTAAAATGGAGATATTATCAGTGCTGTAGGCAAAACAGTGAAGGGCTCTCTGCCTGCACCCCCCTGCGTTTTTGTGTACAAAGCTCAGGTGTGCAGAAGCCCTGGCTAATGATTGTCATCAATCAAAGGAGGCGACAGCCCACCAAAGAATGGGCTCCACTAATGGGAGAGCTGCTTAGGCCAGGAGACACAAGCAAGAGGGTGCTTGAAATCCTGCCTATAGAAGATTGTTGAACCTTCCCACTTCTTCATACAGCCAGAGAGCCCTTGCAGCCTTTGATGCAGTCATGTTCACTGACCCACTGCCTTTGAAGTCTGGCACCGGGCTGTCAAAAGCAGCAGGCTGTTATCACTTCATCCCCAGTCATGCATTTTGGACTCCGCTCTGACAACTCCTTAACCCTTTACGAACTAGAGAACCATCTGCAGATTTAGCTGGTTCGCCAAGGCAGGGGCAGGTACTGTTGCTTCCGCTGGCCAGGGGAAATACACTGTAAGAGGGTTTCTGCTGCTTTGAAGAGGACCCAAGATACAGTTCTGGGGATAGAACAGGTGCCAATCACCTCATTTTCTCGGATCCCTTTGTTCTTGGCCTCGTGCACCCAATGAGCTCAAATCTGCTTGGAGAGTCTTTGCAGGATCTTCATTCAGAACGAAATCTGAGGTCCTCCAGCACAAGATTCAGCTGGGTTCCTCTGATGTAGTATTTTGTACATCACCTGAGCTACAACAGTAATCTGTGTGCCTATTAAAAATTAACCAGTTTGCTGAAGATGGGACTCATGCAGTCAGTTCCTGCATCTCAACTCGGGTGCACAAGAGCCAGGATGCCCAAAGACATCTTGCAAAGGATGCTTGCCATTAACACATTGTATTCCTGTCCCCGTAAAGCCAAATAAAAGGGGATTCCAGACAGGCTTCTGTTCTAAAGATGAGGAAATGAAAGCCTTGGCTCTTCAATTCTCATGTTGTACAATTCAGCTGACGTACCTGCTTTCCATCAGGTCGCTGGGATTCTCCACGTTTCTGCCACTCCTGGGTTTCTGTAACACACTCTCAGCCCATGTGCATGGCAGAGGGTATTCCTTGCTGGATCTCTAGCCCCACAGCACCCCCAAGTCACTATAAGCAGAACGCGAGCTTTGGTCTTCCCAAATTTTTATTTTATCTATTCCAAGCTCTGGGGCTTCAGCTTCTCTCCTGTTACAGTCTACCCAAAACAAAGAAGCTTCAGCTGGTCCCTAAAATTCTCATTTCCCAGTCAGTGGACTGTGGATACAAATGACTGGAGGACACAACTGGATGCACAGGTCAGTCCATTTAATTCTTTCTAAGGCCACCTCTGCCAGTGGGCCACATCTATGCAGTGAGCAGGAAACATTACCCAGGGCTTGTTATTCCTGACCACACTGGTTTCACAGTTCCTGTACTACTTTGTATTCAGTACCTCTTCTCAATTTCATTTTGCTTGTGAAATCAGTCACATTGATCCATAAATCACTGACAAAGGCAGCAACTCATTACTAGTCCCTTTGGTACTCACTCTAATGACATTACACTCTATGATCTCAATGAGTCATAAATAAAAATACATGTATGTATATATGCATATTCTAGTAAGTAATTCAAAACTAATTCCAATAATTTGGAATTTACAAAAGCAACATGTGCAGATCAGAAATTCACCCTGCTTGCTCATCTGAGATCACACACTGGAGTTTTCCTTTTCATGTGTTTAAAGCCATCTTTATTAAGCAAGAATGATCCCTGGAACATGTGACACAGCGACTACCTGAAAAATTGCACTGGCTGCCAAGGTGGGGGGATTTACAGTAGGAAATTTCTCACAAGGTTGTTGAGCGTTTTGCACATAAAGAAATGAGACCAACTGTAAACTGTTTCAAATAGAGGGAGTTTCATCGAATGCTTAAGTAAAGAAAGGGTCACTGGAATGAAAACTTGGAAGAATCCAGCATAGCATCCACAAACGGTTACCTTTTTTGCTCCCTGTTCCTCTTCAACACCATCTCCTATTACAATGTACACGGCTTTCCTTCCAAACCTTTGCATTATTCTTTCAAAACAGCTCTCTTTCC